GTATATCTTATGATTATTTCCCCCCTACCTGTGGGTTACCAACGGGAAAGATCTTACTGTATATTTTATGATTATTTTCCTCCTACCTGTGCGTTACCAACGGGAAAGGTCTTACTGTATATCTTATGATTATTTTCCTCCTACCTGTGGGTTACCAACGGGAAAGATCTTACTGTATATCTTATGATTATTTTCCTCCTACCTGTACGTCACCAACGGGAAAGATCTTACTGTATATCTTATGATTATTTTCCTCCTACCTGTGGGTTACCAACGGGAAAGATATTACTGTATTTCTTATAATCATTTTGACTATTTTGATTTAAGCTTTCCGCCACTCTCCAAAACCTCTTCAAGAAAAAAACAGTACTTGATAATGACAAAAAAGTCGAAAGTCACTGTGACCTTTCCACCCTAAAACTAGTGATGAACTCAGAAACCGTATTTATAGTTAAATGTAAGTGGAAAATGTTTGAGACATCAAGCTGCAATTTTGCTATGTTTTAACGAAAAGCTACGACTCCATAAGGGAGAGTAAGTGACTAAACAAAAAAGAAAAAACGCTTAAATGTTAAAAATGTTTTAGATGATGTATTTAAAAATTTGGGTAACAGAACAATTCTAAGCAAGTGGAAAAACCTGTATTTGTTCTCTGAAGAATTGTGTATTAAGTTCTCTGAACAAATAGCCTTTTCATTTTATCTTTTATTATAACGAAACGGTATTATATAGTTTCCGATGCCTTTTAAAGCTTCCTATTCGGTATGAGTTGTTCACATTATTGAGTCGGTCTCATGGTGGCATTAGGTTGTTTACATCCTCGTCCTTTGATCTCGGGTGGATAGTTGTCTCATTGACAATCATACCACATCTCCTTGTTTTACATTTTAGAGAATGTAGGACAGTTATCCCTGTAACTTATGTTATTCCATGGACTCGGATTAAAAGAAGGACGGTTGAGTGCTCAAAAACTAGGGTACCCACACCACATGTCCATGTGCCCGTCTCAAGTCGGGGACCTTGTAAATGGTTAAAATGGTATTTTAGTTTAAATGAAGGATGTTAGATGGTACCTGTTCAATTCGTTCACAGTTTTGTTTTACTCGTATCTATTTACTAATATATAACCACTTTTTAGTGTTGTCGGGTTGCTGTCTTATTGACATATATCCCTCATCTCCTTTTATTCAATCTTTTTTGTTGTTTAATTCCCGTAGAATTGCGCAGATCATGTGATGTACTGCCATTAGCTCTAAGCTGAACATATCAAATATTTCATAAGGTAACTAACACATGTGATATATATATTTTAAATAAATACATATAAAAACTAGATCTGATTATAACTATCTCTTAATTATACATGTTATACACAGGTTTCCGGTTAGTTAGTTTTGACTTCTATTGTATCTAGCCTACTTATCTCGAATAACTTGGTTCAACCGAACGCAACCGCTTTGTAGCGTTTCGATATTTTATCAATGTATCATGCTATAAAAAGTGTAAATAAATTGCAAATATTCAGAAAGTCAATAAATTCACAGCTTGAACCAAAGTCATTTAATTATTTCCAACAAAACCTGTTACTTGTGATCACTAAATATTATTCATAGAGCAGTAGATTTTCCAATGCTTCATATCTTCACACTGTGACCCTATTAAAATTTAATGTCTTCAAAGGACAAGCATTTAATGTTGGCAATAAACATCTATTAAAGGGTTGTTGAATGATAGTACATATATACGAAATGATTTTAAATAAGGTGAGACGTGGTGTATCCATGTCTTGCAATATACAATATTAGAATATTGATGATTTAGGGTCGACATTACTGAGTATATGGACTAGTATAAAGTGCATTGGCCTCTAACAATCCTACCCATATCATTTCACTGACAGTTTGGCGTTTTAATCTGAAAACAGAAGATATTTAAAGGAACGGTATCAAATATGTAGATGTAGACTATTTGTATCCGATTGTAGCATTTTCAAAGCACTTTTGTGTATACGTACTAATTTTGTTTTCTGCGATATTGTTTCCAATCGTTTTAATTTCAAGAGTTGGCTAATGAAAAATGCATGCAATATTAGTTCGCATTAATAACATCAATATGTCAATTTAAAAACTCAAGCGTTCTCATCCTTGTTGACCAAAGAATGTTGGAACCAATCACCCTTGACACTTATAATTCATAATCAAAGTACTGAAGTACTGAACATCGGATGACCGCAAGTTCTGGTGGATGGTAACAAGCACTTGTCTCAGAAAAAAAATCACATCTCTATACCTGAAAGTTAGGATGAGGTACATAGATATATTTTTTCTGAGACAAGTTCCTGTGTGGATGATGAATAAATGACAGGGAATTCAACCACACCGTAATAATTATTATATTGTAGTGATATAATCATTTGATATCAGTATACTCTGGTTTGTTGTTATATATTATATTAATATTTGTATACCAGTTATATGTATAACAGATCATCTTAATAACTCTACAGGCAAATTTTCATTCATTTATATATCATTCTATTCTACTATTCTAATGATAGTGCAGTGCAAGTACATGGTGGACACTCTTCTGTATTAATTCGTTTTTCTAATAGATTGGATTTGAGTAGGCATTCATATTTTCCCGCTTTTGTTGCAAAACGTTCTCGAGATATTCTTCTGCATGCGTTAACACAAATTTTCGGTATCCATGATTTGTTATTGATATATATATATTTCTCACGACAAAACATTTTCATACATTTATCTATGTTCTTAACAAACATTTTCATGAATATTTATTGATGAAATTAATATATAACAAGCGATAAGGAATGTTATTTTGCGCTCGATAATTTCCTCGTAATTATACGAAATACGTTCGGATATCAGTCAAACGGCAAGGAAATTTCTGCGGCAACATAACACCGGTATGACCTCTCAAGGTCACATCCGATGTTAAAATCATCTGGCTTACCTATGTGCATCTGCTAATTTTAAAGTCGTTTCTACAGATTTGGAACCTTCCAATGTTATATTGGGATAAAATTTTTAATTTAAAGAGATTATGAAAACGTGTGTCTTCGCTAAATAGTATTGCTAAATGTAACAATGACCAACGACTAACGAATATAGTATCATTTATCGGCGAAAACACACGCTCTAAACTGCACACTTATTATTTACCAACCAATCATTATCACCTTTGACTTCTCTGGTCGTACATTATTTTTAAAGGCGGTGTCAGTTTACGCGGGATGTATAAATACGCAGTCACGTCTGTTAAATCTTATCCCGTCTTGCTGGGAAGGTGTCGCGCTTCGTGCACGTAAATACGAGTGCAATAATTCTTTTCGGGACATGTAAGTGACCTTCTAAAGGTTTGATTTCTGCTCTACACAATATAGCCCCTTTATCAATGGCAGTACAATTTTCCCATCCTTCTTTGTGGTCAGTCCATTATGTAGAACGCGCCCAATTTGTATATTGTAAAATGTGTTCTCAACCTAGATATGCATTGAAACATTTGTTGCTGGACGTTACGAAAAAATCAATCACACTATCTGTCCATTTTATTAGTTCATAGATTTAACTTTTTGTATTTATTGACGGAATATCATGGTATAAAACTGTATTGAAATTATCAATTAAAATGTGTCCGTGGCGAACCATAAAGGTGTATAATAAATTAAAACTCTTCTAATTATAATACCAAATTGTAATATGATATTCTGTTGCATCCCCATTTTTTCAATTTTTTAATGTGCAGTTGTTTTTCAAAGATTTCAAATAGGTAACAGTAAAACCAATGACAAAATTCTAAAATAAATAAGTCATATAAATCGAGATCTGATTATAACTATCTCTTAATTTTTCACAGGTTTCTGGTTAGTTAGTTTTTACTTTTTTTGTATTCTGCCTACTTATATCGAATCCTGACGTTTAAATCGTATACCATCGTATATTTTCCCAGTGTGAAGTAATACCTGGCATTGTTCTTTTCAATATCCAGCCCTTGATTGATATGTCAAATTATCATTCTTCAATTATTGTTATTCATTCAAATCTATGGATTAATATGGATTAAAACATCATTTGAAGGTGATATTTATAAATTATTTCATTTATCAATGGTAACGGGGACCATTCAATCCACTCCACCATTTGAAATCATAAGCAGCAATTGTAAATAATTACTTAATACATTTTAAGGATCTCCTATTGATATAAAAGTTTATGAATCACCATGGATGTTTCGATGTAAATTACAATTCCAAAATCCGACGTGACTCATATACGTGTTAAGTGTAATTCCACATAATTATCGTCATTTGATACCTTCATGAATTGCATTACGCAATGTTACGACGTGATAGTAGTGGAATTGATTTACAACGCAGTCATACTTGTATTTCTGACTATAGAAGTTCGGAGTTTACACCGTTTGTTTACTATTTGTAAGTTTTTACTTCAATTATATTGTAATGTTCTATTGTTTTACAAACACGAGTCGTGTCAGCTTATAAGTTACTACTATTTGACTCTTTTTTTAATATTGCTGCTAATCAAAATCAATCACAATTGCTCCCCCTAAATTATACCTGTGTTTTCTGAATATATATAGAATTTTTACACAATATTTTGACTTTTATTTGTGTATTACAGTTTTTTGTAAGTTAAAATTTGAAATGACAGTCGTATACAAGTCGGAGATTTGGCATTGTAGAACAGTTTTCCACCCACAACGTTCCCGAGGAGAATATCTGTATACTAAACAATCATGAAATGACTATCTTGTTCTGAACTTCATTTTTCAAGTTCTTTTTCTGATGTTTTGGGGCCTCTTCTTCGTGTTTGTTGTTTCTTTTGTCAGGAAAGGTTACAGCTGAAGGGAGTTATCTATACTGTTGTATATTTTTTCCCAATACATTATTCAAAAACTAAACGAAATCTCTTACTAAAGTGATTCGATGTATTATCACGGTTTTAACTCTCTTTTTTCAGAGCGGATGATAAGACACCGCAAAATAAGCAATCAACAACAACACGTCTTCCACCAGCAGGTAAAAACAACAGTTTAGTAGGGAATGGGGATATTAGTCGCCACCGCCTTCCACCAGCTAATAACAACAAAAGTTTAGTAGGAAAACCAAATGGTGATGTGACGCACAATAACAACATGAAAAACAATGACAGGAGACAGGAGAAACATGTGTCTTCGATACATAAACCGGATGGTAAATAACTTAGTTTTGTTACTTATTAAATATATAGTTATAAAATTAAACTCTGGTGGATTCACTTCCATTGGCTAATAAAATGCAGACATGGGACTTTGGGATAGACATAATATACTATCAAATTATATTTCTATCAAGATAATTTAAGTTCAATTTAATCAAGTATATTAAGCTGTCCAAAGTCAGGAGCCTGGAATTGAGTGGTTGTCGTTGTTTCTTGTCTGTCATATTTGCTTTTCGTTAATTGTTTTGTTATTTTGTTATAAATCAGACCGTTGGCAGCTCGTTTGAATTGTTTCACATTTGTTTTCATGTCGGGACCGTTTGTAGCTGACGATACGGTATGGGTTTTGCTTATTGTTTAAAGCCATACGATGACCTCTACGTCATTTGAATTATTTTGGATAGTTTTGCTCGTACCACATCTCTTCACTTTTCTTAAAAATTTGTACGCAAGCCGCGTGAACAGAAAATCAGCAGCAGTGCTCAATAAAAACATGTTTTTCAGTTATTTAGGTATGGTGATCTCTAAAAATCAATTGTTTGCGTGTATGTGTTGCTTAGCTGCTGTTTCATTGACGCTTTCACTGTCAATATACTATGGATTATTACAGGAAAAAAATTGTCATGTGACTGGATGGCTACACACAAGACAAGGAAACAATCGGTATATCAAAATAATTAAGGAGACAGATTAACATAAGCACTTGATGCTTGTTTCTGAATCCTATTTGTGAATGTGAATATATATTGTAATTCGTATAATTAATAATAAAATATTGTTTACACTAAAATAACAGCGCTTTTATTCCTGTCTATCATCTAAATAGTTGCTGTTAGGTCTTCAGCGATCACTCGAAGAGCTCGATCATACCTTACGCATTCGGACAACCGACTTAAGAGTTTCTCTTTTAATATCCATTTATAATCTGTAGATAAACCATTAAAGACTCATATTTGAGAATGTGTTGTGTGGAAAGAATATATTATAATAAACATTTAATGGAAACCTAATAAATTGTCTATCATATTTTCGACCGATATCAGTATTACAGTTGTATAGTATTTTTAGCCAATATTGTAGGAATGATCGTGTACCGTTACATGTTTGCCAAATTGGTTTAATATACAGACGTTTAGTTATTGCATGTAGCAGGTGATATGTAATAAATACTTTTGCATCAATAGAACTGAATAATAAGTTTTATGTTGCACAATCGAGGTTTACAACTGGGTATATAATGATATCCATTAATACTAGAATTGATATAATGTTATAAGTTTAGTCAGTTTTAAGAAAAGCTTATTTCTATTTCAGTTATGACATCTCAAAGTAACAGAATCCAAACGAGAGGGAAAAAGTAAGTAGTCACATGAAATATCATTGATATGTTCACTTTCTGTAAATTAAAAGAGGGACGAAAGATACCAGAGGGACAGTCAAACTCATAGATCGAAAACAAACTGACAACGCCATGGCCAAAATAAAAAGACAAACAGACAAATAATAGTTTAGATGACACAACATAGAAAACCAAAGACTAAGCAACACGAAACTAAACTGTAACTGTTTCTAAAATGTTGAAATATTCTAAACGCTAATGTTTTCTACACCCAGGTACATATTGCCTAAGCTGTATTTGGCACAACTTTTTGGAATGTTCGGTTAGTAATGCTGTTCAACTTCGTAATATTTGATTTGGCTTTGCAACGGTTTTGATTCGAGGGCTATTGATAAGTCTTACGCATAAACGAAACTCGCGTCTGGCGTACCAAACTATCAGCCTGGTATCTTTGGTGAGTTTTTAAAATGAAATTAAACTATTAAATAGGGTTATCTCATTTATTCACGATAAATAAAACTTCGTCAATCAAGATTTGAGGAACGTCACTTTCACCATTTATCATAGCAGAATAATGTATTTCACTTTTCGATCACACTTATTTGTAATATGTATACATACATTTAAGTTGACTTAGTTTTCTAGATAATTTTATGCACGCCTAAATGAAATTACGTAATATAATGACACCATTTACTTTACAAATCCTTTTGTTAGTGCTGAAAACTCTTTTCAATATATTTTGAATACCGAAAAATTTATCATATTGCCATAGTCATTAAGAAATAACGGTTACATCGTTAAGTCTTTTGAACATTATAGTTAAGAGTTGATAAATGCAAATAAAATGTGCATTTAAATAGCTAATAAATAAAGGATTAAAGTTTCTCAATTTATTATTCGTCATATGTCAACCCATTGCTACACGATGGTAGAATTTCTCCTGTTTTGCAGTAGTGATACAGAAAGAATGTCCGTTGGAAGTAGAAATTCAAATAGAGTCCATGCAACCAGTGACAGGAATAAAGTTTCATCGCCAAGAACTGACACAACAGAATATAGAATTCAAAATCCAAGGAGTAGCCAAAGAGTTAATGGACAACCCATGTCTCCAAAAACAGAAATGTCAACAAACTCGCGAACTAGTTCTGAGTCCAGAGGAAGGAGTAAAGAATTTACTTTCCGGTGGAATGCCCCTTCACGGAATACTTCACCCGAAGCCACTGACAAATCAAGTTCACCCCCATTAAAACAGTATAAACCTAGTGCTCAAATTCAAAGCTTTTATTCTTATTTATACGGGCGATCAAAAAAGCGAAAGAGTGTATTAGAACCGTCTCCTAAACAAAAACCAAAGGAAATTTTGAAGAAAAATACAAATGATACTCTTGAAAGAGAGCGACCGCAATCATTTGTGTTACTCCGAAGTAAAACGGTTAAAAGAAGTGCTTGGGATACGGAGCCCGCCGAATTAACTTATAAACCATCGACGAATGGACCTGAGGAAATCTCGCAAGCTTATGTTGGTGAAGAGTCTATTCGTGAAGCCGAAATGACAGCTAAACTACATCAAATGGAACAAGGTCAGACTAAACCAAAGGAAAACAATAAAGTTGTTCAAAAACGGTCTAAAATTCCTCCTTGGTATGAGAAAGAGTATGTACTGAATAGGAGACAAGCCGGTGTATATAGAAATATGTCCAATGCGTACGGTAATGAATCAAAAAAGCACCGAGAACAGAGGTTCGTTCAGAGACTTGCCGAGTATGAGGTATATAAAGCGAAACAACAGTGGGAAGAATTGTTAGAAAAAGACCGAAGAAAACGAGAAACGAAAGAGAGACAAATATTGCAGCTAAATGAATTACGACAACGATTCGAGGACGAAGCTTACCACCGTTTTCATACGCAGTACGTCACTTCTCGCGTCCTTGAGCACGAGAAAATGAATCGTGATGAATATGGATTACCAGAGGACAACGAAGAGGACCAAGAACAACGAACAATTATCAAAAGGAAAAAAGTAGTACCAAAATCCCTCATTACAGAAGACATGATTCAGGATATTTACAAGAAGAAATTCAATAAAATTTTCGATGTTAATAAAGGTAAAGGTCTGGGCAGACGACCGAAAACACCAAAAATGGAAGGAATCGATACAGTTGTACTAGAAGAGACGGACAAAAAAGGTAAAGTCCAATATATGAAAAAAAATACGTAAATTATTATTGTTTTTATTTTGAGCTGTCAAAAAGAAGGCTTCCAAATTTATTGTATTTGTTCTTGATGTAAGTTGAACGTAATATACATGTATATCAAGCACTTAAGTGTAATTGTTTTAAATTATGGTTGAGTCTTCCCGAGCATAGGTTTACCATAGACGGGATTTGCTTTTTTTTTCGCATGAGCCCGTTCTGCTCTTTACGCACTTTAATGTTTAATGTAATGGGCTTCCAACATTCAGGATAAAGTGTGATAAAGATTTGAGGAAATTTGTTTTGCATATCTAATGTTTTCTTATGTTTTAAAATAAAGCATATATATCATTATCTATATATTTATCACAATAAGAAAATCATATATAAAGTTTATCATATAGTTGGTATTACCTTGCGATAGTTTCACACGATGTTTTATTTTAAGGATATAAAAAGCTGTGATGAACAAGGCAACAAAAATACATGTTTATTGAGGATACTTATTTAAAGTTTGTCTTACAATTTTCATAATATTCTCTGCACAAAGGAAACATGAAACTCGTGAATTATTGGTTTTCATTTTATGTCATTATTATTAAGTTCAATTTGTAAACTGTTAGTCAAACGTGTTTTTATCCGTCTGTTGTGTAATGTAAAAGCTCGTTAAATGGCCTATAAAATTTCTTGTATTATCATTCAGTTTGGAGGGGACAAACATCCAGATTTATCCTGTATATTTTATACTAGATTTTTGCCTGAAACAGGAAAACTTATATATGAGATTAATAAAAGAATTTATGTGATTCTTCAAACAAGACCATTATGCACAAATCAAATTTCAGGTACAAATACTACATTAGTCCGGATCATTGATCAAAAGAATTTCATGCACTTTTTAACATTTGTTGTAAAGTGGCATTAACAGTTTTGTAATAAAAATGTCGTTTGCTTATTCAAGTTTGCGAAATAGGTAATTGGATATTATTTTACTTCATTATGTGTATAGATAATGTAAAATTTGTTTTGATAGATGTTGAGAGACAACCTACACGTATACAGGGTTCTGGTATGGACACTTAAAACTTCATCTATAATTTGTATCTCTCACTTAGCTTATGAACTCACCTATTTTCTTAATATTTATTTGTGTAGTTCAAAAAACATGTCTGTGTCTCTGAGAATAATATACTGTTTGTTGTTCAATTATATTTTCTTATCTTTTATACTTTTACGAGTAAGAATGGATTGGATTGTCATTTTGCTTTTTTTTTTCTGTTTTCTATTCTGACATCGGACTCTGACTTCTTTTAGTTTTACTGTGCGTATTGCTGAGTGTTTGTTTATTCTACATTGGCTAGAGGTATAGGGGAGGGTTGAGATCTCACAAAACATGTTTAACGCCGCCGCATTTTTTCGCCTGTCTCAAGCCAGGAGCCTCTGGCCTTTGTTAGTCTTGTATGTTTTATTTAATTTTAGTTCATTTATATGTTTCGGAGTTTAATGTGACGTCCATGTTCACTGAACTAGTACTCATTTTTGTTTAGGGGCCAACTGAAGACCGCCTCCGGGATTTTCTCGCTGTGTTGAAGACCCATTGGTGGCCTTGGGCTGTTTTATGCTCTTTGGTCGGGTTTGTAGTCTCTTTGACACATTCCCCATTTCCATTCTCAATTTTATGCATATTTTTTATGAAAGCTCACGTAGGCACCGTTTGCTTCTCAAATTCAAAAAGAGTTATAACATGTGTATGGAATTATCATTTTTCACCTGAGCAGAATATTTCTTGGTCAGATACCAAGTCAGCCTTACCTATACGACAGTGTATTTCAAGGGGTGTTAAAGCGATTTAACTTTCTTTTTGGTTAAGTTATTTCTCACTATGCGTAAACTGACATCTTTGGTCAATTATGTCATTCAGAATAACTTTAATTAATATTACATCGTAGTTTAAATTTTTTAATTGAAATGGTCAAACTCTCTCTTTTAGCAGTATATAGTAAGAGTAATCTGAAAGAAGTTAAGGTTTTTTTGTGTTTCGATATTTCGATTTAGGGACAAATAAAATAAATCAATAGTTCGAGACTGCAATGAGCTTTGAAGGCTTTTTGTGACTTGTGAAACCACGTTTTGACGTCTGACGGTCTTTTTCGGACTTCCTTGGAAAATGGGACGTTTGGGGACACGATCCAAAAAGGCCATCAGGCGTCAGAGCAATTTTGGTCTTCTACAACGGGAATGTTAAACGACATTGACTATACCCATGAAGGTCTCGATTGGTCGGAACTAATGTACCGGTTGTTGAACTGTCGACACTGACATTTGAAGTAAGGTTTACAATTATAAGGTGTTATAGAAGTTCTAGCATGTAGTAGTTACTTATAATTTCACCTACATTGGAACTATTTGAGGACTGTGGTATTCTGGTAGAACTAACTATATTAATACATAATCTAATGGTATATATATTTATTACCGAATAACCATGGTATAATGTTGATGTTTATATAGATGTGTTACAACTGGTTTGCATTTAATATATAAACTAATATCAAACTCTCTCTAACTATCTATTTGATTTTTTCTGGACAATTGAGATGTCTGCATGACGTCAGGGTGCCCAGATACCCATGTCAATAAAAAGTGATACCCAGTAGAGGAGATTACTGAATAAATCTATATGTACAAGTGTTGTAATTTTCTTTTGCTGTGTTGTGTTGTAAAATTCGTTGAAGAAAACAAGTTCAGACGATCTAGTATACTTCAAGGGAGAGCCAAATAACAAGAATTATCTATTTCTGCTTCAATAGCAAGCTGGAAACACTGACTTCATTCTCTTATAAAGAAGAAAATAAACCAAAATAACGGTTTATTATTTTTTTTTATTATGTTTTATAGTCACAATCACTCTCTTACTTGTTGCTATGCCATTTTTCGGCACAACTGAGCACATCTTTCGTGTTTTATATAGCTATGCATTAACAAATTAACGATGTTATTTACAGTTGAACTATTATTAATGGTCTTAAGTTATTTAGAATATCTCGGCTACCCTTTCTTACTACTTTATCCAAAAGTCAATCGGTTTTATACAAATGAATGCTCTTTTACATAAAATGTTAAATAAATTATATATACGAAGTCCGCATGGTATAAACTTGGCGTTTTAATGAATAAATAATGTTCATATATACAATATAAACATGTTTAAATTGAACTCAAGGTATTTGATTAAAAAAAAATTATGACACTATTCCAAAAGATTTCAATGGTCAATATTTCAGTACATTCCATTCTGTTGCGTTCGTCAATTGATTGCAGAGATGTTGGCAAAACTATCACATACATTAATTTACCAAAAATGAGATTGATATTTATTAAGGTTTTGAATTTTCCTTAATGCCAATCCTGATAGTATGCTTGTAAATTTGTACAAACATATTTTACTAGAATACCAAAATTGTGGTGTACTTCCTTACATTCATTATAGACGACTGTCGATGTTTTGTGTCTTAAGGTTGCCTTATGAACGCAAAAAAAGGTCATTCCAAGCCATAATCAAAATTATATTCGAAGTACAAATATTCATTTTTATGAAAGATATTATTTGATGCAATTTTGTAACGAATTTTCGTCAGCAATGCGCAAGACTCAACAATATTTTGATTTAATGGAAATGTTTAAATTTGTTCACAAACCTTTAAAATATTTAAATTCCGTTAATTTTTAACAACTGTCTAATTTTTATCCTGTGAGTGACTGCAACAAATGCACAGATAAAATGTCCATACCTTTTTACATACAAAATATATCATTATACATTATATTCCATTACTTCATTCTAATCGTTCTGAAAAAGCAAGAAATATTCACCACTAAATTAACAACGAACTAAAAAAAATATTCAGCTCAGACGCATGGTTTTCTCCGAATACATAGTAAACAATGATGTTTCAGTTTAAGTCACATTCGTAATTTGATTACTTTCAGGAAATACAAAGGAGAGGAAGAGAATGGTCAAAGAAGTTATTAAAGCAGCCGAAAAACAACTGGAAGTTAATAAAAGTACGTTTTTAACTTATCAGGGAAGTTGCAGGATGAACAATACATAATAATACTAAATACTAGTATAAAACAGAAACGATTACAAGTGTAAATAGCTAAGATTTCTAAATTAGCATATAATGAACTGTGTTGGCTTAATTTGAGGCCAAGAAATTGAAAGTTGGTGATATTCAGATTTGTTTGAAATTTGTATGCATTCTAAGATCTCGTTTAACTGCATCTGAATATTGAAACAATAATATATGTAGCATTTATACTTCCAGAGATACATTCTATCAAACATGTTTAAATTGCATGCATAGAACGCACATAAAAAATTTCCGAAAAATAATGCTTTTTACCTGCGTCGCAAAAGGCGAGAACAGATACGACCTTGTTTAACCTTGGGGACTTTTTTTAGATGCGATATTTTTTGGTTTCCCTAGTAACAACATCATGTTGGTACTCTTCTTAAGTCTAGTCTGCCTGTTTATATGTTACTTGTAATCGTATTTACTATTGTGTAATGTTTTATGCATTGATGTTGATATGATATATACTTCAGATATAAGTCTGCAAGTTTCTTTATTTTTATAACTACCTTATGACCACGACGTGTTAATGAATAAATAAGTATTCAGATTATTATTTTTTTTCAGAAGAGCAAAGAAAACTTTCGACTGTAGCCAAAAAAGAAGAATCACACACTCCTTCTATGAAGGACCTTGACCTTGACGATGACAGTGATGATGACGATATGGATGACATTTTCGAGAAAGCCAGGAGAAAATATGACTTAGATGTTGATGATTAGATGCCATAGTTATTCACCTTAAATTATTTTCTTACCAGTATATATATTTATCATAATGAGACTGTAACTCGGAATGTGCATGCATTGAGTCGTTTAGAAATTAGATACCAGCTGTATTTGAATGGTGTATCACATAACTAAAATAAAGTAAGATCATTGTAGGAAGTGATATCTTTTTCTCCAAAAATGGGGTTTGAAAAGTGGATTTTTTAACCGGAGGAGAAGGTACAATGAGATAGTTTCAAAATAGATTTGAAACACCGCCTTTGTTGGTAAAGATTTTTTTGAAGGCCAGTAGGACTCCATTGGCTGCCTCAAACAATTACTGCCTCACTACCTCTTAATACTGTCGACGTTCCACATGTACTTATCATTGACTTTTATATTAGTGCCAATATCAATTATATGTAATTAGGGGAATTACATCAAATGGTTATATTCATAAAATACCATGAAAAACAGTCTAATAAATGAGGGTGCAATGCCAAAGAATTTTTTTTCTGTCACCAAAGGTACTGTAATATAATCTGAGATTTTAATGTATCTGATAAATTACTAATTCTTATTAAAATTCATTTTAAATGTAACATAATGATTTTAGTTTTTATGTCTTTAAGTATGTTTAAAGTGCAATGCTGGGGAAATGAAATATTCTTCTTTCAAAGAATTTGAATTTTTTTGAATTATTGACTATGAATCACAGTATATGGCCAAACTCAGAAAAGACCCGTCTAAATTCCATTTAATTGATCAATTAAAAAACACTTACCGTTATCATTATGATATGTTTTCGTTAAATAATCAAGAATTCTCTAAATATACTACCGATATTTCCCCAAAGGAACTTACCTTAAATAAATCAAATATTAACAGCAATAAGTGACCTTTCCTTTATTTAGACATTTCAGTTTTACACCAGAAACTCTACACAAAAATTTACGACAAAAGGAATGAGTTCTCTTTCCCTATTGTTAATTTTCCTTTTATGGCGGTGATTTTCAGTTGGCACCGTTTTACGGTGTTTATATATCCCAACTCGTTCGCTATGCCTTTACTTAATTCTTTCCGGTTTGCAAGTTTGGCTGTACATCTAAAAAAACTTATTTCAAACGGAATAGCACATCCTAAATTTTATGGTGATGTTGTAATTTGAAATTTAGATACGATCTGGGTAAATTTATCAATCTTTGAATAAACTTATTTTAAAAGGTTACCAATTCAACACTGTAAATAAATCTTTTATTGTCTTTTTATAGGTATACATATTGGTTTTGTTATCAGTAAATTAAAAACAAAACTAAATAGTATCGGTATACACATATCATGGTCCTACAATCTGTCGATACCTATATTTTGGCATTGAACAAGGTCATGTTTTTTTCTGATTGCTAATGACGTCTTTATACTAAATCCATTTGATGTTGGATTTGTACTGATTGATATTTTAGTCTTAGATACATGATTTTTTTTATTAGTTGTTATTGGCTTTGAAATAGCTGTCAGTAACTGCGAGTACTCTCAAATCTGTACTTAGTGTCTTTTTTTGTTGTTGTTGTTGTTAGGGATGAGGAATGGGTAAATACCCTGCCACGTCCGTTCTGTGTTTTTGTTTGATGTTTTTCTGCTTTTTATCGATCTGGTGAGTTTAACCTTTTTCATCTGATTTATATAGTTTGTTCTTATGTTGTGCAGTTACCAAATTGTGCCTCTCTTCTTGCCGACTTGTTTCTTTATTATTATGAGGCTGACTTCATACTTTTAGTTACATAGGAGTGTAGAAACGTATAGGAGGTAATATAAAGGAACTTCTTAGGAAGTAAGATAAGAAGTTAGCAATATCCTTTAACTTTACTTTCCGCTATATAGATGATGTTCTCTCACTAAATAATTCAAAAATTGGTGACTATGTTGAACGCATCTATCCCATCGAACTAGAGATAAAGGATACAACAGATACAGTTAAGTCTGCCTCATATCTTAACTTACATCTAGAAATTGACAATGAGGGTCGGTTGAAAACAAAACTTTACGACAAAAGAGATGATTTCAGCTTCCCAATTGTGAACTTTCCATTTCTATGTAGCAACATTCCAGCAGCGCCTGCATGCGGAGTATATATCTCCCAATTGATACGATATTCCCGGGCTTGTATTTCCTATCATGATATCCTTGATAGAGGGTTGCTGCTCACAAGGAAGCTATTAAACCAAGAGGTCAAAATGATGAAGTTGAAATCATCCCTTCGTAAATTTTACGGACGCCATCACGTGTTAGTTGACCGTTATGGAATAACCGTTTCACGGATGATATCGGATGATATCGGATATGTCGTAATTACAATCCACTTCCTTTTTCACTACGAATATGACCTACCGAATTAGACTATTAACCGGATTTGTAATAACATGAGCAACACGACGGGTGCCACATGTGGAGACGGATCTGCTTACCCTTCCGGAGCACCTGAGATATCCCCCAGTTTTTGGTGGGGTTCATGTTGCTTAGTCTTTAGTTTTCTATGTTGTGTCTTTTGTACTATTATTTGTCTGTTTGTCTTTTTATTTTTTAGCCATGGCGTTGTCAGTTTATTTTCGATCTATGAGTTTGACTGTCCCTCTTGTATCTTTCGCCCCTCTTTTACACCAATTTCCCAGGTTTGCGGTGGGGGTTGGGGGAGGGGGTTGAGCGCTCACAAACATGTTAACCCCGCCATATTCTTTATGTGCATGTCTCAAGTCAGGAGCCTGTAGTTCAGTGGTTTTCGTTGGTTCATGTCTGTCATATTTGTTATTCGTAATTTGTTTTGTTATAAATTAGGCCGTTAGTTTTCTCAACTGAATTGTTTCATATTTTTAATGTCGGGGCTTTTTTAGCCTACTATACGGTATAGGGATTTATCATCGCTGAAGGCCGTACAGTTACCTATAATTGCTTACATCCATTTCATTTGAACGTGGTTGGATAGTTGTCTCATTGGTAATCATACCACATCTCCTTATTCTATATGCACTGGGTGTCGAAAACGAAGTATATGAATCCCAATATACAAAATTTAGAAAAGTTAAGATAATATAAGTTTCCTTTCTGGGTATACACTCTGTTTTGAGGAATCACACTAAATAATCACTCGATCAATTTAAGAGCAAAATATAATATAAAACGACCACGCAAAATCCAATCTTAACAAAAACACTCAATTCAATTACAATGTATATAGAAATGACAAAAGTCCAAGATACTTCTTCATTAAAACAATATTATAATAATGCTCTAACTAACTGAAAGCAGGATTCAAAGTATTTTCACTAATCATGAAATGATGGCTTCTTACACTTTGACATCGACAACGGAACTTACAAGGGTGACTGGGGAATAGAAATATGGTCACTACAGGTCTCCTTCCGACCGGCAGTAAACTCCATAGTGGGGCATCTGTTTGGCTGTGCGGGATGTACATGTACGCAGCCACATCCAGTCAGAAATGGGACGTTAAATCCGATACCTCTTGTAGAGAGATTGCCACTCTCTCTGCACGTTAAGAACCCTAGTAACAACTCTTTGAGGGGTCCGCAGGTAGTGTGCACAAGGCAAATTTTCTGTCCCTATCCTATTTACCCTCATTTTCCGGTGGCAGTCTAAATTTCCCCGACCTTCATCCCTGACGGCCTCTATATCAGGACCTACCTATTGTATTTATTGTTAATTTGTTCTCGTCCTGAGAAAAATGCATCAAATATTTGCTACTGGACGTAAAGCAACCAACAATCAATCTAAAAAGTTTTCATGCTCAACAGTACTATCCAGTAATCGGATATAAAATAGTCGTTTAACAGTCCCCTTTTTAACTTGCTTGCTAGAAATAGGCTATAGTGTCCAAGGTGTTCCGCGTAAAGTGGTGGGAATTCGTAAGGAAATTTCCATTTTCATATTATTATAAATTACACATAAATACGCACAGACACACACAAACATCTTTTGTTTGTGTCATGGCTACTGTCTCATTCACCTGAACCCTCTTCTCTTTTATTTCTTGTATCTATACTTTTTTATTTGTTTAACCTATTCGACCATCGGTTTTCTTCTCAAGAACTTCCTGGTCATTTTAATCATTCTTCATGTCTCATCTTCGTATGAATAGCTAATTTTCTATCATGATTTTTAAATTGCGGTGAAACATTTTTGAACGATTGAACATTTCAATTATATTTCTTTAGTCCTAATATTACTACAAGATTGTTACTTATAAAACTGGGTAGATGCGGAACAGTGGTTACTGTGTAAATGATACTATCGAAAATAGAGTTTATCAATAATGGTATCAAATCAGTGAGAAAAATATTAAAAAAACTAGCCTATTTCACTCAACCTTGACATGTATATGATAGCAGGCATGAACACTATTTTATCATATACATGTGAGCATAATCCTTTAGTATTGTAAAATTCAGCACTGAACCGTATTTTACATCTTTTTTTTTTTATTTGAAAACCAACAGTCTGAATTCAGATTTGCTTCGATGGTTTATTTTTCGTCCATCTGGGGGAATAAATAGGAGGCTCCATGAAAGACCTTCCTTATAGGCCGTTCATACATTATTCTAATAAAGGTTCGATAATATTGACCGAGGATTACTTGTGCTGTTCAATAGTTTAAACATATTTTATAGTAAGTAAATGAATCAGACACAAGTTTTTTTCAACTTAGAAAACTCTTCTCCGAAATAAATGCGGACCAAAGGAAGCCAATGTGGCATCCGTTGATATACAAATAAGAAGATGTGGTATGATTGCCAATGAGACAACTCTTCACTAGAAACCAAATGGCATAGAAGTTAACAACTATAGGTCACCGTACGGCCGTCAACAATGAGCAAAACCCATACCCCATAGTCGGCTATAAGAGGCCCCGAAATGACAAATGTAAAACAATTTAAACGAGAAAAGTAACGGCCTGCTTTTTATACAAAACAATGAACGAAAAACAAATATGAAATATAGCAACAAACGACAACCACTGAATTACCAGCTCCTGACTTGGAACAGGCACATACAGAATGTGGCGGGGTGGAAAATGTTTGCTGGCGCGCCAAACCCTCCTCCTAATCTGGGACATCAGTGTAAAATGTAACAGTAGGACATAAGGACAACCTATAAAAATCTGTTTAAAAGGGCTGATCAATACAAAGTACAAAACAACTAACAAAAACACAGATTGGCCTTGAAAGGGCATTTGTACATCCCCACAACAAAAAACACTATAAAGTATAGATCTAAGAGTACTCGCAGTTACTAACAGCTAGTTCAAAGCCAATGACAACTAATAAAAACAAATCATGTATCTATAAGACTAAAATATCAATCAGTACACATCCAACATCCAATGGACCAACTGATGAACATTTGGAAACGGTCTCCGAATTAGCATTCATTTAAAGTGGGACAAAGCGTTGCCTTGTAGTTTCTCTCAGAAAAAGTTTAAATTAAAAAAATATTTGTTAGAGTAAATAAAACATTGGTTCTGAGAGTCACGTTTTTCAACCAATCGGACAAATATTAATATGATATACCATAAATCCGTTCTTTAATCATGTGATTGATTACAAACCGACAGACGTGGGTTGAAAATTCTTGTAGTCTGAATTACAAATACTAGTACTCAAAAATGAATGGTATCAGATGGTCGTTATATTCAAAACTTTGATTCACCTGAATATGAAGTACACTGATAAATATAAATTTTGAAGCAAAGTTGAAATATTAATTGTCTTCTGATTAGAAATAAATTCCCCGAAACATATAGGGTCTTAAACACATCTTGGGGTTATATATTTATATACTAGTATATTCTTTTTCTGGAAAGCTATTGCACTAGACATTCCCTCCCCAACAAAAAAGTAGGGGAAAAAATGACAGTGACCATGTTGTTTAATGTAGGTCTTATGCATAAGTAAATGTCATAACCATGTTCATTTAAAGATGAGAGAGAAAGATGTTATTTGATTTCTAATATGGTTCTAACAGGCCACACACGGAACCATCAGAGAGTTGGTGCTAAGTTTCTTGAACGTGCAGTGATTGTGGCGCTCGGATTTAACGTCCCCATTTCCACCGGACGTGTCTGCGTATTTACGCATCCCTTAAGACCAAACGGACGCCGTACATTATGTTTACTGCAAGATTGGAGAGCTCTAGGGATGACCAAATTTATATACCAAGTTAATCGTTTGGGTTAACATAAAGTTGAAATTTAATCAATTGAAATAATCAATTGTCTTTGATGTATATGTATAACCTGAACTAATTAAGTCAGGACTCTGTAATTCTGTATAGTTGTCGTTTGTAGCTGTATACCATGTTTGTTTTCCGATTGAAGTTTTGTACTTAAATCATGCCGTTGGTTTTCTCTTTTGAACTGTTTTACATTTTGTAACGACGGGGCTTTTTATAGCCTGCTATGCGCTATGGACTTTGCTCATGACTGAAGGCCGTACGACAACCTATAGTTGCTAACATCTACGTCATTTGGTCTTTTGTGGATAGTTGTCTCGTTGACAAGCATACCACATCTCCTTGTTTCATATCAATGATGAACATATACGGTTCCAATTTTACTGTATAAGATGCGCATTATTTTTTCAAGTAATGTCTCTTCAGTGATGCTCGAGTCCAAAAATATTATATAAAATCCAAAACCTAATACAAACGTTGAAGAGCTTATACAACTTAAAAGGACTACAAGTAAAGCCAAACCCGGACAATGAATCAGAGGTATGCATGAGAGAGATAATAAAAACTGATTTTTAAAAGGAGTAGGTCCGGTAAGGGCCGATTTTGGCCCCAAATTTCAGGTTCATCTGATGAAAGATTTTGGACACTTTTTAAACACTTAAGTGTCTACTTTAGTAGAATCAATTTATTTATGTGAAAGATTTGACTGATTTAGTCATTAAAGACGTTCATATTCAAGCTTAAATGTTATAAATCTATCAAATATGCCATAATATGCTACTTTTCAGATGGTTTTTGTCAAAAATGAATGTTGCCGCATCCGTGTTCATCCTCAACCTTTATATATGTTATGTATTATCATCAAATACAACTTACATTTAAATATTAAGAATGAACACAAATGCGGCCACTTCCATTTAAGACGGAAACCGCCGAAAAATTAACTCAAATGCTAAAATTATGAAGATTTCAGTAATTTAGCATGACTTAATGATGCTAGTACCCGATAAATATGCATTGTACTATCAAAAACAGCCCATATGTATGTAACAGAAGTATTTTAATTTCCAATGAATAGCTAAAAGTTTACATTTTAACAATTTTGTAAAACTGCTATATTTTGGGGCCAAAAAGGGGTCTTACTGAACCTACTCCTTTGATAACAGCAAATAGTGATAAAACAATTGCCGTTTTTTCATGATATCAGTAGTACCACAGTACTGGCTATTGGGCTAATAAAATAATAATTGGATAATGACAACAACCCATACTGGCCCTTTTTGGCTAGATTGGCTGACCTTTTTCTAAACATAAAAGGAGAGCTCTATACATACAATGTTTTCAACGTAAAGTCCGGGACGATTCGAAGCAGAATGACCAATTGGTCATGTTGCATCTAATCTCGTGTTGAGATTTTGAATGCGTTTATACTCAAAAGTTTCATTTGTTAACAGCTTGTCAGAATACTTGCCAGTTATTATTTATTTTGGAAAAACTATGGATGTCATTGCAATTTCTATTTTGTTTCGCCTTATGTTGATTTTTTTCTGTTTTCATTCTTTAATAGAAATAAAACGTAATAAGACCTTTAAAGATGCAACTATTAATAATTAACATGGTACTTTCAAGTGCTTGTTCTCAGCCTTAAGTGTGTTTTATATGCACACAAGTAAAACAAATATTAGATTATTTTTTTATTTATATAAATAGTACAAAAACAATAAGTAATAAAAATATACATAAAAACCGTGAAGGGATTTCGAATTGTTTACAGAAAAGAAAGAAATGTCAGAAACGTACATGTATACACAAAGTAATATTTAAAAAAGCAAACTGAATATACATTCAGGACAGATATACAGCACTAACTTTAAATATACAACATTCAAGTTGTTGTGACCAGCACTAAAATACTTAAACATCCCAAATACTTAAACATCTCAAATAAAATAAATATTGGTAAACTTTTTACACATCTCATAACTCGAAACAATTCAAACACTCGTTCCTTTGCAAAGGTTGAGGTATCATTTGCAATTATAGACGTTTTTAAAACAATAACCGTTGTGGGCTTTTCCTTTTCTCGCCAGCTGTCCAAGACTTTGACTTAGATCGGAAGTGGCGTACGTCTGCTGCATGGTCTTGGTGAAGCATAGGGACGTAGTTAATTGGTTCACAGTATGACTGAAAGGAAAAAATATACATATATATATATACATATGTATAGTAACTCATGTTTAAACATTGAATTTTCCTTTACGACAAAGCAAATATTTCGGTGATTAGTAAATGTAGTAAGTTATTTAAGCTCTTTGACCGTGACAGTATAAAGGAATGTTTTAAGCAAACAAAAACGCATCTGAATAAAAGGTATAAGATACAAAGGGCAATACACTGTAATTTTTTTGTGAAAGTGTTACAATTTAAAATCATTTTCGTTTGTATATGTTACCTTACAAAATTGGTGCTTTAACAATTTTAGATTTTTCCTAAGATTTATTCCGATTCTGTAACATCATACTAGCTTGCTTATAACATAATTAAAGAACGTTTGGCTACTTCTGCAGACGACAGAAATACCAAGTATAAGTTTTACCTAAGATATTAAATATAAAACTAAGTCCAACATATCAAATTCCCATTAATGTAACACTTTTGATAAAGAAATCCTTGAGCAAAGATTGACAGTGTAATAAATGCTATCTGTCTGTTAATAAATGCATCGTGTGATAATTCCTTTATTTTTTTTTTCTTAAAGATAGTTTGTTGTATTATTTCTTATACATCAATTCGTGAAATTCAAGACTAATAATGTACTTAATTCGAGACTTTCAAAAATACCTTAAAACTGTTGTAAAAACTCTTGTAACCACCATCTAAAATATACAACTCTGGGAAAGTTAGAAACGGATACATGTCACTGTTCAGCTCTCGGTCTTTGTTCCGGAGATAGCGGCACCTGAAAACCAAATTATAAAGTTTACAATACAAAAATATTTCAAGTTGTAATTAAACAAAAAAAAACAAAAAAAAACAAATAGCATTCCTTATCGCTTGTTATAAATTGATTTCTTCAATGAATACTCATAAAAATATTTGTTTTTAGAACATAAATTAATGATATGAAAATGTTTTGTCGTTAGAAATATACATATAAGGAAAAAATCATTAATATCTTTGCACACGTACAGAAAAATTGTGTTAACGCATGCGGAAGAATATCACAAGAACGTTTTGCAGGAAAATATGAATGCCTACTCAAATCCAATCTATTAAAAAAATCGAATTATTACAGAAGAGTGTCCACCATGCACTTGCACTGCACTATTATTAGAATAGTAGAATAGAATGATATACAAATGGATGAAAATTATATATACATGTAACTGTTATATACAAATATTAATATAATATATAACAGAAAAAAATATTTCTCTGTACATTAACCTCACTTTCAGGTATAGAGATGTGATTTTTTTTCTTTGAGACAAGTGCTTGCGACCATCCACAAGAACTTGCGGTCATCCGATGTTCAGTACTTCAGTTCTTTGGTTATCACAAAGAGACCAATTAAAACTTATTCCGATTTTTTTAAAACTTACCATCCCACCATGAATCATATCAAAATGAATTTATTTTAAAAACATAACAAAAGCTAACGGCTGTATCTGAAACACTAGCTGGAGCCCTATGTATCACTAACAAAGCAAACCAGATTAAGTTTAATTTAGAAACACGTGACTTGCATACTGAAATTGATAGTTAAACTGGACCCCTGTTGTGTTCACTTATCGCTACACTAACGGTGTGGAGATTTATATGGAATGGCGGACCATGCAGTGTAATTGATAGTCTACTTTTATTTTTAAACAGTGACTTGTACTTTGCACAATCAATCGAGGGGTTCTACACCATTTGACATTAACAGCCATATTGGCGTCGACAAATCGATTTCCAACACCGTTTTCCTTTGAAAGCAGCTTTAGTTGTATGGTTATTTAGTATATTGCATTTAAAAATTCAGATTAAACAGGTTTTTTTAGATTTTCCTTCACATGTTTTATGATACAATTCGTAATGTTTCTTACTATGGATAAGAAAAATTATTTGAACATCTAAGTACTTACAATTTTGGTGCTCTTTCTGAAGAAAACTCGCAGTGGAAAATGAGTATGTCTCGTTGTGTGTTTGGCTGAAAGGCGTGTAAGAGTTGTAAGATGTCATCCTCTGTGTAGATATTATGGGCTCCCTAAAAAAAGAAAGTATGGAACTGATTTCTGTGGGCTCGACAAATGTTTCTGTAATAATCTGTATTTATTACGCTGTAGACAAAACTACGATGGTGTGTACACATCAACAAGACAGCAACCAAACTACACATAAATCCAAAAGACGTCTAGAATTAAACATATAGTCTTCAACAAAAGACAGGTATTTGTACTAAATGTCAAGCTGTAAATCGCCCCAAAAAGTCTAAAAAGTTGTGAATAAAGATATGTCATCAACACCAAATTCTTTAAGTAACAAAAAAAACCATTAAAGTATGACATTCGACAACAACCGAAGAGGTTCCTGACTTTGGAAATATTTAAACGTACGAGATGAAATAATGCTGTCTTAAACTCTTAAATCGGGAGCTGCACTTTATTCAGTATATTTATTCAGTAAAACAGTCCAGGAAGATATGAGATTTGGCAATGCCCAGAATAAACCAAACGCAACACTTTCGCCTTGTTGCAATCTTTAATGTGTATCCAGAGGCAATGATAGAACGGCAACAGTATTACTATAACCTTTATCAATAAGTCTATGAAGCAAAAAAAAAGGACAGTTCCTATATTATCGTTATTCCTATATTATTGTTAAAAGCTGGGTGTGGAATTCAATTTTTATTTTATTCCGGTGATTGGATATCATACTTTATAATATCCATATATCTGTTGTAAAAGATTTACAGTAATGAAAATATTACATTCAATGAAATCTGAGACGTCACAGCAAACATTGGCAAATCGAACTGTTGGCTGTTATTATTATGTCTGTGTATCATCATTAAAGATCAACCGGGATTAAAACAAAATTTAAGTTTTATGTTCACTGCAATATGCTTAGTTTCTGAGCATATTGGTCCATTATAATGATAAGAGCAAATCTTATAAATATTTCATAACGTAAAAACTTTGAAATAAAAAAAAAATGACAGTATTATAAGACCACCAAGATCATTTCTCTTTCTAAAAGTAGACAACTAGATAAAATAACAATCTACCTCTCCTTCCTAAATATCTTCCTTAAATTCTACTCTCTGTATAAAAATTATACATTCCAAACTTTGGTCTTTCTTGTTTATCATTGATCAGTAATCTAATCAATAGATTTTTAGATAAAATATTTTTAACATAAGACTCCAAAAACTTGCTTACTTGAGATTCTTACTATCATACATTTAACAGCTAACAAAAAATCTACAAGAAATACAAAATACTTTTTCGTCAATAAAATAAAAAAATGAATGAAGCGAATAATTTCAAATTGGTTATTTTCATTTTATAATTAATAAATATGTCATTCCTTCTACATCGTACTTGTCCTTAGCACTTATTCTTTAGTCAAACAGCTTTAGGCTGACCTTACATTTTTTCAAAACTGGTTTCTTGACCAAGAAAAATACATTTTTAAAACTATCCCTGCAGTATAAGTTTTCAGTGCATTTATAATAAAACATGTTTTTTCAAAGGTGATGTGGATTTTGAAACAAATAACAATGTAGATAAAGAAGATTCAGTTTACAAATTGTTTATATAAAATGAACATGAGATAAAGTTATTAAAATAAAAATAATCTCCAAAAGATAATCGGGGTTTCAGTAAAAAAAAATCGAAGACAACACAGTGCAATTTTCTTAAGATTTGCATTCAATTTCTATAGTTAAAAAAAACTAAACAAATATAAATGTGAAATCTGACAAGGAAGAGCTGTGTATACTGCAGTTCATTTTGTTATCGTATGCTATTTTAGATTAAAAAAAAATCCATTTTTTATTTTATAATTAAAACGGTTGTATACTTCTGAATAGCGGAAAAGGGATCCACAGAATAAGCAGAGATTTGCTTCATCTTTGGCACTGAATATAAACAATAAAACAAACCTTTAAATGGCCACCATTGTACTCGTACGGATAGCGGCAATCTATGATCTGGTAGCCACTGACGGTTTCCTGATACAATCCATTCTGTAGACCAACAAGCTGGAAAAAAATAACATGATATATTATCTATGAATTAAAAAATAAACGGTGTTAATTTATGATCTTACTTCCATTAGTAAATTATTAAGAACCTATGAAGTATGTTAACCACAAACCACACAACTGATTGCATTTATTAAAATTTGAAACTACGGTAGATTCAACAAACATGTTTACATCCACTTCATTTGAAGTTTCGTGGATATTTGGCAATCATACCACATCTCCTTATTTTATATAATTCAATCGCCAAATTAAGTAAACTGCACGTAGATGTGAGGTATACATCAGTGAGACAGCAATCCAACAACCCAAAGATAAATAAAAACATAGCAGTCAACAGCCAATCTTAACCAATGGACAAAAGTGTATACTAAATATCAAGTTCTATATCGCCTCTAGACAAGTTGTGAATAAGAGGTAAAGCAAATTTCCCCTACATTGGTTTAACTCCAATAGATCAAACAAAAATATTGTTAAAATCTTTTCATTGTCTATGCTTTTTTCTACATATGATTTCAATTGCCTCCTCCAGGTCATCTTCTTCTAGTCCCTTTGTTTTACACATAACCATACGAAATAGTAAGTTGTATAAAGTAAGATCTTGTAAAAAAATAGTTTTCGTGTATGATTGGTTGTTGGTTGCGTGCCATTCAGTGGAGCGATATCATTTTGTGGTTAATTTACATTTGACAACAGTTTCGCGTATATCAGCAAATTAGCCATATACTATATATATATATAAAATGATGGAAAATATTTTTTTATGTTTATTCATTTCGACATCTACTTGTTTTCAAAAATGGGCCAAACATTCCACACCTTACATCAAGATCAGAACTAATATTAATGTCGACTTAAGCTTTGCCTTTTTATCAATAAGTTAAAGACACTTTAGGACAAGATTTATTCTTTCAAATTATATGCTCGCTTTTTTGTCTAAAATTTTGACATGATGATGGTTATTTATAAGATAAAAAAAAGATACATACTGTATTACTGTCAATACTCTTCAGGTCAGAGTGCTTGCCCTTGACTGTAGGTAAAGAGAATATACCAGTGCCGTCACCAATGACATTGTCGACGTCCATTAGGAGACTTACTGCATTCTTGACACCATTTGAGGGTGAAGGTTGATAAACTGGATGGTCCTGAAAAATAAGTGAGATGTTACTGATTTGATATAAAACAAACATTTTCTGCTATCTCAAAATGTCGCCAACGTATAAAAGTAGTTATATTATATATTATAGTTTGACTGTCCCTCTGGTATCTTTCGTCCCTCTTTTACGATTCCTCCTTTTCAGAGTATTTTCAAAAACGGTTATCCGCTACAAGTGCTAAAGATATTTCAACGAGATAATAAATTTGGAGTAAGTTAACTTTTCTTATATCAGTTAAAATGCAGTTCCGAATCAGTTGTCATTAGTTAAAAAATACTGTTAGCTATTTTCGTGTTTGCAATTGGTTCTGTGGAAAGTATTTGAGCAAACATCAAACCTAAAAAACATACGTATTTTTGAGATCGTGTACATTAAAAAACTTCCATGTACAAGTTTGGCAAACTGTCATACACACCCCAAAAGATAAAGATTTATGGATTCCACCAGTTTGTCTTGGTCTCTTGGTACAATGATTGTCATGTGGAGTACGCATGCGTTTATCTGTTTCTGTAAACCTTAGTGGTGAGAATACTGGCAATGAACCACGAAGCTGGAAATATTCAAAAACACATTTTTTTAATTGCACTCTCAATCTAAATTACAACTTACATTCATGAAAATACATTTCTCAACTGAGACAGCGTGCAGCAACGACAAAAGGTAAAATCTTTATGTGGAATGGACATATTCGTAGCTTGAATTATAATTAAGTGTGGTGAAGGACACTATTTTATTCAACTCCTTGGGGGTGTGCCTACATTGGCAGAATTTATACAGATACAGATACAGATAGACTGATAGAGGGGCAGCATATTTAACTGAACTACTGTTATTGCAATATCGTATGGATACTAGCCAGTATATGTTAAATAAGTGAAAATGTGTTTAAATATTAAAGAACATTTACTAAAAAGAATAAACACACAGAAAAATGGAAATCAAAATAAAGGGGGGTCCATGCCCCTAAGCGCCTGTGGTAAGAAATGTCTTGTTTGTGGATTTTAATAGAATAATACGTCAAAAGTCAATTACTACTGCAATGCATAAATTTATCCTCAGCAAATAACTTGTAACAGATTACCATTCATCGATAATTCTAATGTCACCATATATAAGTGAATAAATTTAAAAAAAGATAACCGAAGAAAGGGAGATAACTTTAACTCGGATCGAATTCAGTAACGTTCGATTGCGGATATTTAATACAAAAAACGAACCATCAACAGTTTATTACACATAGCTATTACATTCTCAATTTCCTTTTAAAAAAGATTAGATTTGCATCAAGTACAGGTTCCATTCAGATGAAACAGATCAAATATACTTTCTCCCAATATAAGATATTAGCAAGAAAGGGGAGACAACTAAAGAAGTGATATTTTTATAACACTTTTAAATCCGTAATAATAATAATAATATTATTATCAATAATCATAATAATACACTAGTAAATTAACAAACAAAAGAAGACAAAGTGAACTATCTATGATCATTTATAAGCACATTTAAACAAATAAAATACGAACTTAATTATATTTTTTAAAAAAACAATTAGGATCGTAAGTGACAAATATTTCCATATTGACTTCAAGTTTCAACTTCAATACACATGTAAACTATGTGAAATAATGGCTTTTTCGGTGGATTTAAAAATAAATCGACAATTTTAACCAAATGCTATGTTTTAACTTGTTTGTATCACTGAATTTAGGTAATCTTAAGTGAATCTTTTTATGTTATCGTAGGCATATAATTATACCAATTAAAACCTTCGGGCAGTGATACGAGTTTTTTTATAAAAAATGTCTGATTTCTAACATAAACGTAGATAGGAAATCGA